GATATTCCTCTTAACATTGGGTGAGGAACTTTATAAGGCGAAGTTTATTCAATTCAATTGAATGTGAATTCTTTTTTACCCAAAAAATAAATAAATAAAATTTTAAGCTCATCGTAGCAACGTTACAAGTGAGGTCCTAATGGCAGAAGTCTTAAAAATCTCTCGAGTCTTGTCTTTGAACGTTGGAGGTGGCAAATCTAAGGGAAATTTTTCAATAACTGTAAACCATCTGTAGTTGCAAGAGAACTTGGGTACTTCGGGATCCTGTTTGCTCACTTCGGTAGACCTGCAAAGCTCTGAGGTGGGTCTTCGAGATAGACACTCCGATGCCTAAGTCAGCAATAATTAGAGTTATCCAATGTGAATTAAGGGCTAGGCTTGAGTTCGATCTTTCAAAAGTTACCTTTAAGGAGGACCCTTGGGGGGTATTTATAGCCTTCAAGGGAGGCATCCACGTGTTGTTCTTCACGAGAAATCAGGATTGTATGTGTCGATGATCCCATAAGGTTTCCTTACAGTATCGCTGCACGTATGGAGTTACTGTAGAGTAGTATCAAAAGGGATGAACTCGAGCTTGGACGAGCTCGTCGTTCCTTGTTGCCAAGGTGACTAGATTGGAAATCGGTCCGGGCGCCTAAGGTATTTGACCTCGGGCTATGTGAGATCAGACTGTGACTTCGGACTACTGCGATCTCGAACTACTACCACTACACTATTCCCCCCCCGAAGTCGTTCACTTGTGAATGATGGAGAGGGTTGAGTTGGGTATGGAGTGTAATGTGGTTGAGGTCGAGGTGAAAGTGACATGGTCATGTGGTGCGGCCGCAGCCGAAGTAAAGGTCATGACATGTGGTCATGTAGTGCGGTCGTGGCCGAAGTAAAGGTTAGGAATGATTGAGCTGATGAAGAAGAATGGTTTGGTCGAATTTGGACCGATTTTTGAAATGGAATCGGAAAGGACAACAGTGATTTATTATTAAAAAATTAGTTCAGGGGAGGACAGCTGTCCTCGAGTGACGCACTGTAATAAATGGCGCAGTCAGGAATAACTGCCGAATTCGAAAGGTCGCGCTTGTTACCGTTAGATGTGGACGATCGTGACCATTGATGGGCAAGGAAGCTTCAGTATAAATAGCCGGGGTTGAGCTATTCAGAATTTACCTTGTTGATTTTATAGCGAAGCGCTGCCGAAGTGAAATGAGATCATTTCGCCGTTCAAGCTCGTGGTATTTCAGAAAATTTCTTAAGTGTTTTACTTCGGTCGTTACAAAATTAGGTAATTCCTTAAGCTCGGTTTTTGATTTCGGAATTTAATATAACTGGTTTTAGATCCAAAGTCCAGTAGATAACGTTAGGGGTAGGTTTGAGATTAAAGTAGGAAGTTTTAACTGTTCTCATCCTACTTGTAGTGAGTCACGAAAGATGTCGTCACAAGAGACACTGAGTGTTGGAGGTAGCGAGGGGGAGCAAGGACTGAGCTTGAGCAGTGGGAGCGAAGTGGAGAGTTCAAGGAGTGAGAGGAGTGGGGGGGTTGGAGGTGAGGTGGTAGAGGTGGGGATTCCTTCTAATGTGTTAGAGGTAGATCCTGATAGGGCTAAGTTCTATAATGAGGAGGAGGAGGTGGTGTCATAGGTGGTGGGGTACGAGAGTATGTGGAGGAGGAGGAGTGACCTCTCCCACCTAGTAGAACAGTATGCCATTCCGGGGCACGTTTTACTTAGGCTGGCTAGGAAGAGGGAAAGGGCGTGCTCGGTTCCAAGGGATCATTGGATGCCGGTGTACGGGCACTACTTAATAGCTGGGCTTAGGTTCCCAGTGCTTGAGCTGCTAGTGGCGCTGTTGCTGGAGTACGGGTTGGGGTTGACGCAGCTCGTCCCCAACGCAGTTCGGCTCATCTTAGGGTTTTTGGTATACTGTCGAACTCGAGGGGTAGTCCCCATGGTAAATATTTTTAAGTATTTTTTCTTGATAAAGGGGGGTAATAATGGGGAGCGGGGGTGGTTTTATTTTACACCTCGGGTGGCTGGAGGAGGAGGAAGGAACCTGTTCCATGTAGGTCTTTCCTCTATAAAGGGGTGGAAGGATAAGTTTTTCTTTGTGGATGACACGAAGTGGGAGAAATCAGAGGTTGGGGTAACGGAGCTCAGCAGGTGGAAGAGGAAGAAGTCGAATCCGAATCAGTATTCGCTGAGCTCAGGGGAACAGGAGGAAGTGGAAAGGTTGGAGAGAAGAGGTGGGGATGTAATGGACATCATGCATTTCAGTAGTTCAGCGATGTTAGAGGCGGCAGAGGTCTATGGACCGAGCTCTATGACTGGAGGTCGGTTAACTATTTTCAGGCGCGTTTAAAATAGATAGTTGACTGACCTCTGTGTTTTACTTTGCAGAGGAGATGAACCGGCTGATGTCCAAGAGAAAAACGGTAGCACTACTGGAGAAGAGGTCGACGGCTCCGGCCGCACCCTCAGTGGGGGAAAAGGTGCTTGGTGGGACTTCGAGGTCTCGCCCTGAGGGGAGTGCCCGAGCTGAGGTGGGCCCTAGCTCAGAGCAAAGGAGGAAAGGGGTTGAGGAGGCTGCAGCTCAGAAGAGGAGGAGGGTTGAGGAGGTGTAGGAGCCCCAAACCGATGCGCTGATCAAGTTCGTGCCTCGACCTCCGCCGGTGCAGATGGATCCATCTCTGCGCAAAGTGGGGGTGGTGGGGCATGGGAAAAGGAAGGAGTCCCCTATTTCTAGGCAGAAGTCAAGCTTTTACGAAAGTACAAGCAAGACAACTGCAAAGCGCTTCATCAGGTCCAATTTTCCTGAGGTGGATCTTAACAGAGCCCAGCATCAGGTCGAGGAGCATGAGGGCTCATGAGTGGTGCGTTATGCGCTCGAGGTGAGAGCTTGAACTGTAGAATAATGTTACTTCTGCTTTATGCACTTATTCATTTTGAGGTTGGTTTCTTGTGCAGACGGTGAATCTCATCAATGCCTTGGCGGTTGTGTACTACGATTGCCTCAAAGAGAGGAACAACCTGGTTGACAAGTATGACGAGCTCAACCTGCGGAAGCAGTTGGCTGAGCAGAACTTCAATGACCTAACTTCAAAGCTCAAGAAAGTTAGGGAGGAGTTGGCTTCTACCAAGGTAGCCACCGATGTTGAGGTGGAGAAGAGGAGAAGAGCCGAGGAAGAGCTAGTTAAGGCGCGAGGGGAGTTGGCTGAGGTGCAGAAGAGAATTGAGCTGGAGGTGCATAACTCGGTTGAGAAGCATGTCTCTGACTTCGTCAATTCGGAGACGTTTTCAGAGATCGTGGACCTCTTCCGCATGCCTACACTGGTGATGGCATTCAATGACTGCCGGAAGAAGGTGAAGGCCCAGAATCCTGAGGTCGTTGTGACAAAGATCACTTTCGGACCTGAGGAGGTTGGAGTGGAAGAGGATGGGGAAAGCAGAACAGCTGAGTTCTGGCCAGACATAACTATTAGTTGGGAGTGGGACGAGGTTGGACGAACTGTGCTCCTCCCACGTCTCGAGTACGAGTTCGTCGTCGTGGACGAAGATACCGAGGCTCTAGCAACTGCCGAGGTCGGAGAGAATGCGGCTGAGCAAGAGGTGGATCAGCTGCGTGTGGTGATCGACTGACTTCGGCCTATCCCCCCCCCCCTTTTTGTGTCTAATGACAATGTACTGTTTTTAGTAGAATTAATGAAAAGAATGTTGTATTCTAGTGTTTTTGTATGGGTGTGTGAGTTCGTAGTACTGGATGATAAACATTAAAAGCTAATGCGTTAAGGCTATGATTGTGGCTGAAGTGAAGTCCGGACTTTGACTTCAAAAAATAAAAGAATGAAACGAACTTCGACTTCGGATATAAAATGAATAATGAACTTCGACTTCGGATATAAAATGAATATAATTTGTAATTCATTCCAAAGTAAAAAGAAGTGCACCACTTTGACTTCGAAAAATGCAGCGCTTAAGCTGGGTAAGAATAAGCTTTATTAAGAGTAGAACTTTTTTAAATTGTTTACATTCCATACTCTAGGGATCCTTTTGCCCTCGGCGTCTTGTAGTACATAAGCGCCGGGGTGTGGCACTTCGGCCACTACATACGGGCCTTCTCAGTTCGGTGCTAACTTGCCGAAGCGGGTTTCGAAGCCGGTGAGTCCTGCCTTTCTGAGGACAAGGTCACCAATCTTGAAGCTTCGAGATCGAACTCATTTATTATAAAAGTTGGCGATCTTCTGCTTATATGCCATTATCTGGAGTCGAGCACGCTCACGGACTTCGTCCAAGAGGTCAAGATCTTCTCGGAGTAGCAGGTCATTTCGGGCTGAGTCGAAATGGCTAACTCTCAAGCTCGGGACACCGAGTTCAACAGAAATGATTGCCTCAGTCCCAAAAGCCAGATGATAGGGCGTTTTGCCTATTTCATTAAAAAGAGTTGTGGTTTACGAGATTGCTAAAAAAAAGTAAGTTTTACGACTTCGGGTGAGTGATGTGAGGTTATTAGCGTACCGAAGTGAATAGTAATTTAATTCCATAGCTGGAGCAGAAATCCCTGAAAGAAGTGCAATTGAACTTAGGCCCATTGTCGGTGACGATTTGATTAGGTATGCCGTATCAGCAGACGATTGCACTGAAGACAAAATCTTCAACCTTTCTCGAGGTTAGGCTAGACAAGGGTCGTGCTTCGACCCATTTTGTGAAGTAGTCGACCGCCACAATCAAATGTGTCACTCCCCCTACACCTTTGACCAAAGGACCTAGCAGATCTAGCCCCCATTGGGCAAAAGGCCATGGTGCCACTAGGTTTGTGAGTTCTTCCGTTGGCTGGTGAGTTAGGTGTGCAAAGAATTGACACTTTTGGCACCTCCGGACAAATTGCCTGGCATCGTCTTGCATGTTGGGCCAGTAATATCCTTGGCGAAGCACCTTATGAGCTAGAGTCCGAGCTCCGACATGGCTTCCGCATACGCCCTCATGCACTTCACGCAGAGCATACTCGGCCTCGTAGGGGGTCAAGCAACGAAGGAGGGGAAGTGAGTAGGACCTCTTATATAGGACGCCGTTAAGCAAGGTGTATCTAGATGCTCTTCTTCGTAGCTTTAACTCCTCTTGCTTATCGGTTGGGACGGTTCCATCGTGTAGGTAAGCTTTGATGGGGTCTGTCCAGCTCGGAGCTTCGGGGTCAGTACTAACCTCCAATACCTCTACTTTTCGAAAACTTGGTTCATTAAGGACCTCAATGAAAACAAATCTCCCCCCCCCTGGAAGTGTCAGAGGCCAATCGTGATAAAGAATTGGCATGCTCGTTTTCTGAC